CCTTAACAGCAACCCAGTATAATACGGATGGCTACCTTGGAGGCTAAGGGCGCTGCACAGTCAAGCTGCCTGGTTCGGTCGCCAATCCAAACCTGGAGAAGCACAGCACGTCACTCAGGGTTTAGGGTTTAGGGTTTGTCCCTCTCCCTGATATTCGAACAAACATTAGATATTCCCCTTGTGGGCCACATCTGACCTACTTCTTTTCCATTTGCTTCGTCATGTGGGGTCAACCCTCCAAAACCCTATATATTCCCTGATTCAGGCAACTGGAAAAGAAAATGGAAATGACTCTTCTTATGCTACACCCGTGACCTGAAGCTAATCAAGAGCTGTTGTAAGCTCGCGGCCAAGTGCGCGCTGAGGTTGTAAAACTTCGAGCCAGAAGGCCGTGTAAGGGATTCCTGCTACCAAGCGACAAAAACATATTGCCCTTCGTAAGAATAGTGCTGTTCAAACCTTAAGAAAAAGCGTAGAACCATGCACAACAATGACTGCCAGGCTTATGAGGTCCCTTTCCCCGAGGAGGACAAGGAGGCGGAGGAAAAGGCAAAGGCAGGAATCGGAATGGTGCTTGGGTATGCTGATGATGACCCAGTACAAGATGTCTTTAGCATTCTGAAGCGACAAAACTGCGTAAACGCCAGTTCGATCGCAATGGTATTGGTCTTTATCAAGGAGGGATGAATTTTGCCTTTTGCCTAAAACCTTAATCCCTAAAGCATGACGTCCAACCCAAAATCCAGCAAAGTCTGAGTCTGCAAGCTCCTCCAAGTCGAGCTGCATTGCCTCGTGGGAAGTGAAGAACCTTCAGCCAAGGAGTCAACAAGCTCATATGGGCAGGTGATGGTTCTGAAGATGGCCATGCAATGCACAATGCCATTACTACTATGATTTCTCTACTATCATTACTAGTATTCTATCTACTATTATTACTACTATTACTCTTATTATCTTCCATGTTGCTTTCGTTGCATGCTGTCATGTCTCAGCACTGAGACAGCTGCTCCACCGTCTCAGCTGCGACAGGCTTCAGAGCTATTGCCTTGAAGCATCACAGCTAAGAAAGAAACGTCACCACCCCACATCACCCCACTGCAAGCTACGGAATGAAAGAATCATCAACACCCTAAAGCCCAAGCCACGAAACCCTAAACCCTACCCACTGGGACAGGGGTGTGGCATGTTAGTAGTCCAAGGACTGTACCCTGGCATCCTCAGCGTAGCTTGCGTGGTGCCTCACATCGAACTGCACGCGGCTCAGGCTGGGGTTTAGGGTTTAGGATATAGGGGTCATATTGGGATAGTGGACAAAATGGAAACTGCTATAATGGGTTACATAGGGCTTAAGGTTTGGGGTTTGGGGTTTGGGGGGTTAAGGATTTAGGGGTTGCCACGGTTTGCCGGACACTTCCACTTGTCAGCTGCATGTTTGTCATGACTATATACCCAACATGTTAAAAACGGACTTGTCCATCTACGTCCTCTGTACAGGGCGCCTCCACCCGTCTGACCATAACTTAGGGTCTGACGAAGGAAAGCCTGTAAGTGCTTCTCACAGCGTGGGAATAAATATATTAGGGAAGTATAAGCAACATCCAACACCCCTTCACGTAATGGGGGTTAATAGGGAAGAAGGGAATATATGAGGTTCAGGGTTCAAGGTGTTTGGTCCACTAACCTCAATGCATACCCTAGAAAACATATTAGTTTCCATGGTTTCCATTCTCTTGTCCATTATCCTTACAATACCCCTACATCCCCTTGTAGTATAGCCCTTACATACACACACACATATATCTAGATATTTGTATATCTATTCCCTATATAAAATATTCCCCGGTTCCCTATTAAGACTAAAACCCGTACTATATTCCCTAACTTATTCCCGCACTAACCTCTAGTAAGTTCAGGGATTCTAGCCTCAACCCTATATAGCGGTTTGCATTTTCTTTTGCTACATAACCCTAGATCACGCCCCCATTTTCCCTTGCTTTCCCTTATTCCCATACTAACCTCCAGTCGCTAAACCGTAAACCCTAAACCTTAAACTCACAGTTCAGGGTGTCTGGCTCCCATCATCCTGCAAAGTTCTAAGCTTGAAGGGCGAGACACTCGGATGCCTTCAGCTCGTTCACCTAGCTCAAAAAAGGCATAAAAGTGATAGCAGCAATTATAAAAACAACAGTAAGAACAGTAATGATAACAGTCTTTGTAATCGTAACAAAGGTAATACCAAAAGCAATGGTAATAGTACTAGTAGTGGTTATAGCAAGAGAAATAACTAGCAATAGTAATGATAGTAATACTGCGAAAAGTAATAATGATAATACTAGTAGTAATAAGAACCTGGGTGAGAGTAGATGGTTGCTGTCTCGGCTCCAAGCCTTCAGCGCTGTATGGGATGGAACAACCAGGATGTACAATATTACAGTATCATCATGCACACTATTGCCGTATAATGCCATCGTATAATATCAAAATATAGCATCATAGTATGGTGTCATAGTATATAGTGTTGTACTTAGCATAAACGACCTGGCACAAGAAAAGCAAAGTCCCGGGCCCCAATGGTTTGCAGCGGCTGGTAGTCTCCGTTGGCTGCATAGCCACGCAAGAAGTTCAGCGTCGCAGCAGAGTGCCAGTATCCTCGCCGCGCTTCAGTTGCAAGGGCTCTATTGCCAGTGCATATAATAATAGGAAGTAAGATAACAACAACCTCATTGCTAGAATGTGCAAAAGAATAGCAGGGGCTAAAATCAAAACAACCTCATTGCTAGAATGTACAAAACAAGAGTAACCACAGTAGGAACAGGAATAATTACCTGAACCATAATCTAAACTCCTAGTATCCCCCTTAATATCCCCTATAGTAGTCCCCTATATAATCCCCTATATACCCCCCCTTTAAGGAGTTTAGACTATAGCTCACCTAGAAGTAAGAACAAATTGGCAAGCGACAAGGCCCGGCCCGGCCTAGCAGCAAGCGCTCTGGGTCCCACTTGCGGTCTTTTGGGTCGAAGCCTTGGAGATAGGATGCAGTGGGGGGGCTTTGAAAAATTTTGGGGGACTTGACTTCAAACCCCAACCCACAATGACCCTGATAAGAGGGACTCCCAGAATGGCACTCCAAACTTTTGGAAACCCGTATGTGTGCGTGCCAAGAACTGCTGATTCGTGCTATCATGGTGAGCATAA